AACCAGCTATTCAAATACAGTGGTTGCAAGATCAAGATAGAGACTAACTCACCTCCTGATTCCCCGAAGCCTGTCCACCATCTGCAAGGTGTAAGCCAGGTGTGTGATGATTGTTCCTCACTTGCCTGGTGAGATAAGCTCCAACAATACTCAAGAAGCTTGACACCATCCAGGACAAAACAGCCCACTTGATTAGTACCACATCCACAAACAATCACTCCTTTCATCACTGGCAATCAGTAGCAGTGTGTATGGTCTGCATGATACACTTCAGAACTTTACCAAGGTTCCTTAGACAGTACGTACAATTCCCACTTCAAGTCTCTCACCATCCTGACTTGGAAATATATCACCATTCAGTATCACTGTCTCAAAATCACTCCCTAATAGCACTGTGGCTCTACCTACATCAAAGGAGCTACAGCAGTTCAAGAAGGCACTCACCATCTCCTTTTCAGGTGCAATCTGCTTTAAAATGCCTCTTAATGTTTATTGCTTTGATCCATATTTTGATCATTTGTCCTCGTATCTTCGTAGTTGAATTGGTATCAAATGTTACTTTGTAATCTTCTTCTGAAGCACCTTGTGGTCATTTTATTTTGATACAACTTGCTGTATAAATGTAGAGTAATGGAGCTGTACAGCATAGAAGCAGACCCATCAGTCCAATTTCTCAATGCTGATCAGATATCTGAAATTAATCTACTTCTATTTGTCAGCATTTGATCCATATCCCTCTAAAGCCTTCCTATTCATATACCCATCCAGATGCCTTTTAAATGTTGTAATTGTGCTAGCCTCCACCACTTCCTCTGGCAGCTCATTTCATATATACACCACCCTTTGCGTGGAAAAGTTGCCTCTTTGATCTCTTTTAAAGCTTAAACTTATGTCCTCTAGTTTTGGACTCCCTCACCCCGAAGAAAAGACCTTGGCTATTCATCCTATTTATGCCCCTCATGATTTTATAAACGTCTATAAAGTCATCCCTCAGCCTCCGATGCTCCAGGGAAAATAGCCCCAGCCTATTCAGTCTCTCTAAAGCTCAAACTCTCCAACCCTGGCAATATCCTTGAAATTCTTTCTGAACACTTTCAAGTTTCACAACATCCTTCCCATAGCAGAGAGACCAGAACTGAACACAGTTTTCCAAAAGCGACCTAACCAATGTCTTGTACAGCTGCAACATGACTTCCCAATTCCTGTACTCAATGCACTGACCAGTAAAGGCAAGCACACCAAAGAACTTCTTTACTATCCTGTCTACCTGCGACTCCACTTTCAAGGAACTATGAACCTGCACTCCAAGGTCTTTGTTCAGCAACACTCCCCAGGATCTTATCATTAAGCGTATTAGTCCTGCCCTGATTTGCCTTTCCAAAATGCAGCACCTTACATTTATCTGAATTAAACACCATCAGCCACTCCTGGGGCCATTGGCCCATCTGATCACCATCTCATTTTTCTCTGAGGTAACATTCTTCCCTGTCCACCACATCTCAAATTTTGGTGTCATCTGCCAGTTTACTAACCGTACCCCCGATGTTCACATCCAAATCATTTACATAAATGATGAAAAGTAGTGAACCCAGCAGCAATCCTCGTGGCACACCACTGGTCACAGGCCTCCAGTCTGAAAAGCAACCCTCCACCACCTCCCTTTGTCTCCCACCTTCAAACCAATTCTATGTCCAAATGTCTAGTTTTCCTTGTATTCTATGTGATCTAACCTTGCTAACCAGTCTACTACACGGAACCTTGTCGAACGTCTTACTGAAGTCCATATAGATCATGTCCACTGCTCTGCCTTCATCAATCCTCTTCATTACTTCTTCAAAAAACTCAATCAAGTTAGTGAGACATGATTTCCCATGCACAAAGCCATGCTGACAATCCCTAATCAGTCCTTGCCTTTCCAAATACATGTAAATCCTGTCCATCAGGATCCTCTCCAACAACTTGCTCACCACCGATGTCAGGCTTGCTGGGCTATAGATCCTGGCTTTTCCTTCCCACCTTTCTTGAATAACAGCACCAGATTAGCCAAACTCCAGTCTTCCAGCACCTCACCTGTGATTATCGATGACAGAAATATCTCAGCAAGGGGTCCAGCAATCACTTCCCTAGCTGCCTACAGAGTTCTCGGATACATTGGATCAGGCCCCAGGGATTTATCCACATTTATGCATTTTCAGATGTCCAGCACCCCCTCCTCTGTAATATGGTCATTTTTCAAGATGTCGCTCTTTATTTCTCAAAGTTCTTTAGCTTCCATAGTCTTCTCCACCATAAACACTGATGCAAAATACATGTTTAGTATCTCCCCTATCTCCTGCAGTTCTACACATAGGCAGCCTTGCTGATCTTTAAGGGGCCCTATTCACTCCCTAGCGACTCTTTTGCCCTTAATGTATTTGTAGAATCCCTTTGGATTCTCCTTAACTCGATTTGCCAAAGCTACCTCACATCCCCTTTTTGGCCTTCTGATTTCCCTCTTAAGTATACTTCTACTGCCGTTATACTCTTCTAGGGATTTACTTAATCCCTGCAGTCTATACCTGACATATGCTTCCTTCTTTATCTTGATCAAAACTTCAATTTCTCTAATCATCCAGCATTCCTTACACCTACTAGCCTTGCCCTTCACCCTAACAGTAACATACTGTGTCTGAACTCCTGTTATCTCATTTTTGAAGTCTTCCCATTTTCAGCCATCCCTTTACCTGGGAACATCTGCCCCCTATCAACTTTTGAAAGTTCTTGCCTAATGCCATCAAAATTAGCCTTCCTCCAATTTAGAACTTTAACCTTTAGATCCAGTCTATCCTTTTCCATCACTATCTTAAAACTAATAGAACTATGATCACTGGTCCCAAAGTGCTCCCCCACTGACACCTCAGCCATCTGCTTATAATTTGTTGTTAAACATTATTACTAACTCCACTTTCACTGTCCTTTCAGAATAGTCCACTCCAGATCGCAACAACTCACTACATAAAAGAAAATATAATCATCTCCCCTCTGGTTCCTTTTTCAGTTATCTTCAACATCGAAAAGAGAGTAGAATGACAAAGATGAATGGAACAAATCTCTACACAATAAGTTTCCAATCACTCTGTTTCAAAGAAATCAAGTATGTGATAGAAGGTAGCAGATGTCTTTCAGAACTCTCTACCTGTTCTTAATGGCAAGCACCACTTGAATGAGATTAAATGAGTTCCATGTCTTAGCAAAGCTATCTTCCTCTCTCCCCGCATAGAATGACTCATTCTCAGTCTTCAGAACTATCTCAGGTCAAGAAGGAGAATTTTGTTGCAGCCTTTTGGATGATGCATGTCACTGAGGTTGCCTAAGGAAGTCAAGGATTCCTTTAACCATCTCGATGAAACTTTGCCAGGCAGACATCTACAACAGAGAAAGTAAAGCTTTCAAATCTAAAAGGGAATCAAGAAATGTGGGTAGTCCATAGCAGGTTACTGAACATATAGGAAGAAAACAGGCATGTCACTGAGCTTGGGGGGAGGTGGAGGGGTGAGTATCCCATCACCCTGTATTATCAATGGTTTGGTGGATAATGTGGTTGTGTCTGAGTCAGAAGGTTGTTTAGTTCAGATTCCAAACTGCTGGCTTGAGCATGTGACCTAATTTGACACAGGAAGTGCTGAACTACTAAAGTTCTGCTTTTCAGGAAAAACATGCAAACAAAAAAACAGGTGAATATAAATAATCTATGGTTATTTCAGGATGCTTGTGGGACCACGTTATACATAAATTGACTGCCTTGGTTCCTTCATTCTAATAGTGACTACAAATTTAAAAAAAAAACTTCCTTGATTATGAAATGCTTTGGGATGTCTTGAATCCCTGAAATGCCAGTCTTCCATTAATTCTCTTAGAGCTCGGGTGGTTTACATCCTCCAAAGTATCAAATCCCTTGCATTTATCTGACATAGATGTATAATGACCTGCAAGTTACAGATCCTGCACATCTCTGTTCAGGAAGGTTTGGGGTACACAGTGCACAACAATGAATGACTATGAACTGCTATCTTCTCAAAACAGTAATCTCCACACATTCTAAGGATTCACAAAGGAAAATCTGTAGAAGTGGCGCTTAATGAATATGGCAATCGACTGCTTGATTGTTTCTGTGAAAATTTCCTTGTAAAAGTCTATGGAAGGAAGCCTGCCCAAGGACCAGCCACAAAGCACAGTAACCCACATGTCATGATGAAATGACCGTGTTTGTAACTGTGGCAGAAACTGTTTAACATAATAAACCCTTTTCCAGTCACCCAACTGTGCATCACCTTCAACTGAAAATCCATTCCAATGTCTTTGATTCCATTGAATCCCCAGCTCTCTCCTTGACAAATTTCATCTCGCTGTATCAAGAGCTAACTTCTCAAGCGTCATGGGACAGAGCTGTTGCTGGGGCCGCTTTGGTTTAACGCCCCTCTCTCTCTCTCTCTGCTTTGTGTCCTTAAACCCCATCCAGTAACTTACTGATTGTTCGGAGACCTAGCCCCCCATTGCATTGCAGCCGGCGATGTTTCAGCACCATGGACAGCGCGGAGCCCGCTCGGTCCTCAGTTGATACCTTTACCTGATACTGTGACCAGGTGCTGGCTCCAACACTCCAATCACAGGCGCGGGGAGTGGGGAGGGGTTGACGTCACCCCCCTCCAATAAAACGGCGAATCACGGCCAGAATAAAAAAAACGGATCAGGCGAGGTGGAGATGGATCAACCAGTACCACAGACAGCCTAGGTGCCCAGAGACCAACAGTGTTCCCTTTGCATATAACGTGAGGAGCGTTGAGCTTTTCGCTACTGCTGCCCCGAGTGAGCTCAATTCATTTAGAGCATTGCACTGACCAGAAGATGCGTCGCACTTATCACATCTGAGGATCTGCTGAAGTTTTGAATCAACAGTACTCCTTTTCTTTTGAAAAAAAGAATCTCTTACGTTCTGCTAAAAGCAAAAGAAAAACATTGCAATGGAGCTACTCGCCCAGCCCTGCATTGATCTAGCTGCCAACGGGTCCCAGCTCTGCCAGACTAGCCTGATCACTATGAATTCCAGCCTGGGCTCAGCCAACTGGTCCTATCTCTGCATCAACTCCAGCTCGAACCCGTGTAACGGCACCGAGAGCGTCCCTCTGAGCAAGAGTTCGGCTTCAATCATCATCGCCATCATCATCACTGCTCTTTACTCCATTGTCTGTGTGCTGGGACTGGTGGGCAACGTCCTGGTCATGTATGTCATTGTCAGGTAATGTACAATCTCAACTCCAAAACATCCTTTCGTCCCCTCTCGCTGCCTCTGTCTTTGTCTGTGTGTCTGTGTGTGTGTGTGTGTGTGTCTCTGTCTGTCTCTCTCGCGAAACCTCTGCCAGCATCAACGGAGTTTGACTCGAGTACCATCCCTCACTCGCCTCACTTCATTGATTGGTAGTCTGGGCGTCTAACTTCAGTACAATGTTCTTGTTTACATACAAGACAATGTGCACAACCTTCAGAACTACTGTACATTCGATGTTGATGCATGGATTTGAGAAGTTCGGCACAGTTCAATTCTGTAGAGATGAATTGCGTGATTTTCACGTTAATAATTGCTTTTCTGTGGACTGATTGAATGTTTATGGATTAATATCTGTATTTAATAGATATCTATGGGGTGGGATAGGTTTGTCACTTGTCTTAGTTGCTCAAACAGCGCCATCTAACCGGTAAGTGTGGGAATGCAGCATCTAAAGGACGCTCAGACAGACCCTCATTTCGAATCGCGCAATCCTCGGTGTACATTTTCGCCCCTTTATAAACTCCTTTCTCACGTTTTCAATAGGAACTACCTTTAAGCGCTCCTCAAAACCTAATTATCAACTCCTCCACTCTCCTCTCACCAACCCCTCTCCCCAGCCCCATCCATATCCACTGGTGAAACTCTAGTGCTATCCCTAAGGGAAGGACAAAACTGACATCGTGATATACTGATCGAGAAAATCAAACATACTTCCTTTCAATCAAATGCACTCTAACACCGAGGTGGCACCCAACTACACCCCAGTCTGCAGACCAGGTCATCAAGAGCTGAAGGAAGATGACACAGTCTCAGACTACCAGCAAATTAGAATGACTCGATATTTCAATCTGAGACAACGGCAGAGAATGCTAGAAAAACTCAGCAAATCTGGCAGCACATCCGTAGAGAGAGAAGCCGAGTGAATAGTTTGAGCTTCGTATGACTTGTTCACAACTGAAAGGTGCTGCAAAAAAGGTTCTAGTTCTCATTCCCTATTCTCAAGTAATAATAGCTCTTTTACAATTTAATAACCATCCAAATCCACCCACCACTCATTATCTTTTTTTATTCACTCATGGGATGTGGATAAAGCTGGCCAGCATTTATTGCCCATCCCTAGTTGCCCCTTGAGAAGGTGGTGGTGAGCTGCCTTCTTGAAACACTGCAGTCCATGTGCTATAGATAGACCCACAAAACCCTTAGGGAGGGAATTCCAGAATTTTGAACTAGCGACAGTTAAGAAACAGCAATATATTTCCAAGTCAGGATGGTCCATGGTTCCTATGTCCTTCTAGATGAAAGTGATTATGAGTTTGGAGGGTGCTGTCTGACCATCTTTGGTGAATTTCTGCAGTGTATCTTGTCGAAAGTACACGCTTCTGCTTCTGAGCATCAGTGGCGAAGGGCATGGATGCTTTTGGATGTGATGCCAATCAAGTAGGCTGCTTCCTGGATGCTGTCAAGTTTCTTGAGTGTTGTTGGGGCTGCATTCATCCAGGCAAATGGGAAGCATTCCATCACACTCCTGCTTTGTGCCTTGTAGATGGTGAACAGGCTTTAGGGAGTCAGGAGGTGAGTTATTCATTGTAGGATTCCTAGTATCTGACCTGCTCCTGTAACCACTGTGTTTATGTGGTGAGTCCAGTTGAGTTCAGTCAATGGTAATGCCAAGGATGTTGATTGTAAGGTCACACCATTGAATGTGAAGGGACGGTAGTTAGATTGTCTCTTATTGGGAATTAGCTGGCATTTTTATGGCATTAATGTTACTTGCCACTTGTCAGCCCAAACCGAGATATTGTCTAGATCCTGTTGCATTTGGACAAGGACTGCTTCAGTAACTGAGGAATCATGACAGGTTCTGAACATTGTTCACCGATGATTGCACATCTCCTCTTCTAACTTTATGATGGAGAAAAGGTCATTAGTGAAGCAGCTGAAGATTGAAGGGCCTAGGACAGTACCCTGAGGAACTCCTGCAGAGCTGTCCTGGATCTGAGATGGCTGCCCTGCAACAACCACAACCAGCACGTATGTGCTGGTATGACTTCAACCTGCAGAGAGTTTGCCCTTTGATACCCATTGACTCTAATTTTCCTAGGCTCCTTGGTGCCATTATTCTTTTCACAGGACATTTCCTTAATCTATAACTTTGCCTTGCAATCTATGACAATTGATCTGACTTGAACTGCAGGATGCTGAATCTCTGTTTGAAAGGGTAGTGTAGAAGGAACTTTATTGTTTCGTCCTAGCAAATACTCGCAGGGCAAATTGCAGGTTAATTAGTGAAGGAACCTGTCTTTTCAATGAGATGTCAAATGAAGGAATTGCCCAAACCCTTCCCATCTGCTCCCAAATGTAACAAAATAAGTCATGACACTTTTTCGAGCAGGCAAAATGGGAAAGATAATCTCAGTGATCTGGCCAATATCTATCCGTCAATCAACGTCACAATCAAAAACAGATTATCTGATTGAGAGATAGTAAGAACTGCTGATGCTGGAGTCAGAGATAACACAGTGTGGAGCTGGAGGAACTCAGCAGGCCAGGCAGCATCAGAGGAGCAGGAAAGCTGAAGCTTCAGGTCGGGACCCTTCTTCAGAAATGGGGGAGGGGGAAGGGAGCTCTGAAATAAATAGGGAAACGAGTGGTGGGGCTGGGGAAGGCAGGTGGGATGATGATAGGTGAGTGCAAGTAGGCAGTGGTGGGGATTAGTCAGTGAGGTGGGAGGAGCGGATAGTTGGGAGAGAAGACGGACAGGGATGAGATGGAGGTTTGGTCATGGGAAGAGGCCAGAGGTGGGGAGATTTTGAAACTAGTAAGGACCGCATTGAGACCATTTGGCTGTAGGCTCCCGAGGCGGAATATGAGGTGCTGCTCCTCCAGTTTCCGGGTGACATCGTTATGACACTGGAGGAGGCCCAGGATGGACATGTTGTCCAGGGAGTGGGAGGGGGAGTTGAAGTGGTTCGTGACTGGAATGTGTTGTCGTTTGTCGCGAACCGAGCGCAGGTGCTGTACAACGTGGTCTCCGGGCCTCCGCTTGGTCTCACCGATGAAGAGGAGGCCACATTGGGAGCAACGGATGCCATAAACCACATTAGCGGATGTGCAGGTGAACATCTGTCTGATGTGGAAGGTTTTCTTGATTCCTCTCATCCTCGCCTCCTTGACCTGTCCGTCTTCTCTCCCATCTATCCACTTCTCCCATCTCACTGACCAATCCCCACCACTGCCTACCTGCACTCACCTATCACCATCCCACCTACCTTGCCCAGCCCCACCCCTTCTCTCTATTTATTTCAGAGCTCCCTTCCCCCTCCCCCATTTCTGAAGAAGGGTCCTGACCCAAAACATCAGCTTTCCTGCTCCTCTGAAGTTGCCTGGCCTGCTGTGTTCCTCCAGCTCCGCTCAGATTATCTGTTTGTCTTTGTGGGAGCTTACAAGACACACATTGATGGTTACATTTCCTGAATTGCAACAATAACTGGAGTTCAAATGTGTTTTGTGATATCCAGTGTTCATGAAATGTACTATTTACGTGTAAATATATCTTTCCTTTCTAATTTATGCTGTGCCTACATAAGAAACAGGAGTAGGCCATTCAACTCCTTCGCCTGATCCATCATTCAATAAGATCATGCCTGATCTGATTATGGTCTCAATTTTTCTACCTGCGCCATATGCCTTCCACAACTGCCCATAACACTTGACTGCCTTGTAAATCAAAATTCTAACTCAGCCTTGAATATGTTCAATGATCCAACCTCCACTGCTCTCTGAGAAAGAGAAATCAAACATTTGAGAGAAGAAATGTCTCCACATCTCAATCGTAAATGGGAGACATGTTTTTTTTAAACTGATTCTCCTGATTCTGGACTCCCCACATGGGGAAGCATCCTTCAATCATCTTCTCTGTTGAGCTTCCTCAGAATCTAATGTTTCAATAAGATCACTTTTCATTCTGCTAAACCCCCATGAGATTATATCCAACCTGCCTGTCCTTTCCTCCTCAGATAATTCTTTCACCCCAGCAATTAGAGAGAAATGGTGTAAACATTGAGAGTCGGGAATGACTCTTCTTTAGAATCCTTCAATTGTTCTTCAATTCTGAGGAAGAGTCATATCAGATACAAACCTTTCGGTCTGTTTCTCTCTCCACAGCAGCACGGTGGCACAGTGGTTAGCACTGCTGCCTCACAGCACCGGGGACCTGGGTTCAATTTGAACAACTGTCTGTGTGGAGGTTGCACATTCTCCCCATGTCTGTGTGAGTTTCCTCCAGGTGCTCCAGTTTTCTCCCACAATCCAAAGATGTGCAGGTTAGTTGGATTGGCTATGCTAAATTGCCCATAGTGTCTAGGGTGGGAAATGTAGGGGGTGGGTCTGGGTAGGATGCTCTTCAGAGGGTCGGTGCGGACTCAATGGGCCAAATGGCCTGCTTCCACACTGTAGGGATTCTATGATGATCCAGCCAGACCTGCTGAGTTTTTCTGAAATTCTCTATGTTTGATCATGGGACCATTTGATGCCTAATTAACCACATTTTAGTTGCTTCAAGTAAGCACAGAAATGATACACATTAATCCAGGTGTGGTCTCACCAATGTCTTGTATAGTTATAGCAATATTTCTTTACTTTTATATTCCACCTCCCTTGCAGTAATGGCCAACATTCAATTTGTCTTCCTAATTACTTCCAGCATTTTCATGCTAGCTTTTTGTGATTCATGTACAAGTACACCCAGATCCCTCTGTAATGGAGCATTCTGAAAAAAAAAGTCATATCGAACTCAAAATGTTAGCTCTGCTTCTCGCTCCACAGATGTTGCCAGATCTGCTGAGTTTCTCCACAATTCTGTGTTTAATCTTGGGAGCACTTAATGGGACAGTGTGTTGAGACCTTCACTCTATTTCATCTAGTGTGGTACCTGTCCTAGGAGTTTTTGGTGGGACAATGTAGAAGGAACTTTATGATATATTTAATCTGTACATTACCTGCCCTAAAAATATTTGATGTGAGCGAGTGTATGGGGACCTTCAGTCAATATCTAACCTGTGCTGCTAATGAGCTGAGTGTACCAGGGACTAACTCATTTAAGGATAGTGGTAAGGTGATGACTGTAGAAGAATTTTGTTGTAATTCCCTGAGTGTTCACAGTGGTACGTACTGGTCTATGGGCACTCCCACAGAAAATGCTGGAGAAACTCAGCAGGTCTGGCTGCATCTGTGGAGAGAGAAACAGAGGTACCGTTTTGAGTCTGATATGACTCTTCTTCAGAATTAATGAAGAACTGAAGGATTCTGAAGACGAGTCATACCAGGCTCAAAATGGTAACACTGTTTCTCTCTCCACAGATGCAGCCAGATCTGCTGAGTTTCTCCAGTGAAAATTGATGGTACAGTGAAGACAGTCATCCAAGAGTACAAAGAGATCTTGATCAGATGGATCAATGGGCCAAGAAGTGGCAGATGGAGTTTAATTTAATAAAATGCGAGGTGTTGCATTTCAGTAAGGCAAACCAGGGCAGGATTTACTCAGTTAATCGTAGCATCCTGGGGAGTGTTGTCAAACAAGGGACCTGGGGTGCAGGGTCATAGTTCCTTGAAAGCAGTGTGCACATTATCAGGGTAGACAAGGTGGTGAAAAAGACGTTTGGCCTTTATTGATCAGAGCATTGAGTATAGGAGTTTGGGACATCATGTCGTGGCTTTACAAGACATTAGTGGGGTCACATTTTAAATATTGCATACAACTCTGGTTGTCTTGCTACAGCATCATAGAATCCCTACAGTGTGGAAGCAGGTTATTTGGTCCATTGAGTCCACACTGATCTTCCTAAGAGCATCCCACACAAACCCAGCCGCCTACCCTATCCCTGTAACCTTGCATTTCCCATGCTAATCCAACTGGCCTGCATTTCCTAGGCACAATGGGCAATTTAGCATGGCCAATTCACCCTAACCTGCACATCTTTGGACTGAGGGTTGAAACTTGAGCACCCATAGGAAACTCACGCAGACATGGGGAGAATGTGCAAATTCTACACACAGTTGCCTAAGGATGGTTATAAACAGACAAGTTAAAATAGGAAGGATGTTGTTAAACTAGAAAGGGTGTCGAAAATATTTACAAGAATGTTACCAGGACTGGAGGGTTTGAGTTATAAGGAGAGGCTAGATAGGCTGAGACTTTCTTCCTTGGAGCATAAGGAGGCTGAGGGGTGATGTTATAGAGGTTTATAAGATCGCGAGGAGCATAAATAAGGTGAATACCCAAGTCTTTTCCCATGTGTAGGGGAGTCTAAGACTAGAGAGCATAGGCTTAATGTGAGAGGGGAAAGTTTTAAAAACGTCAATGTTTTCACACAGAAGGCGGAATGAGCTGCCAGAGGAAGTGGTAGAGGTGGGGACGTTCACAACATTTGGACAGGGACATGAATAGGAAAGGTTTAGATGAATATGGGCAAAACACAGGCAAATGGGACTAGTTAAGTTTGGGATATCTGGTCAGCAAGGACGAATTAGACTGAAGAATCTGTTTCCATGCTGTAAGATTGTATAACTCTCTTTTCTGCATCCACAGTATTTTACTTTTGTTACCCATAGATACTCTTGTTGCTCATGTACTGACCTCCCGATATTTCACCTGCTTTGATTTTCAGGTACACCAAAATGAAAACAGCCACCAATATCTACATTTTCAACCTTGCTCTGGCTGATGCTTTGGCCACCAGCACACTGCCTTTCCAAAGTGTCAACTACCTGATGGGAACCTGGCCCTTTGGGAAGCTGTTTTGCAAGGTGATCATGTCCATCGATTATTACAATATGTTCACCAGTATATTCACCCTCACCACCATGAGCATGGACCGCTACATTGCTGTCTGCCACCCAGTTAAAGCTCTGGATTTTCGCACACCACGGAATGCCAAGATCGTCAACGTTTGCATCTGGATCCTGTCCTCGGCTATTGGGCTGCCTGTGATGATAATGGCAACTACAAGGTTTGACAGTGGTAAGTGCCAGGCAATGGGTGCCCCAACACCTACAGTATCCATCCCATTCTCCCGAGGAGAAATTTCCCAGACAGCTCAGCTTTGCCACCCAAACCTGGTCACTGTTGTGGTCTCGTTTCTCATCTTTCCCATAAGATGGCATGGGGCAAGGTGCTTTGGAAAATCAGATTTAAGAGTCTTTAGAGGCCTCGGTTAGGTTTAAAGATGGAGTATGAACTTAGTGGGGTGGGCTTCCAATGGGTACAGCAGACCCCGCAGGAGGTATCGTACTCTTACTGCCTAATGGCAGGCCACGCAGTAACAGCTGCTGAACTACTCCATCTCTATCTGCTGCTGGAATAACCTGCCTTACATGTTCCCCACCTTCTGTGACATGGGAGACAGGTTGGGGTGGGCGATAGTTGATGGAAAGATTACTTGCTTTTTTTTTTAGTTCTTTAGTTTATTATCACAGTTCTCACCCTGCCCTGGCCAGTACAGAACTGTAATATCCAGCCCATGGGATTTGGAATTTCTATATTATTATGCAGAAGACTCTGCAATGATATAGGCCAGAAAAGATAGGCAGAAAATCTGGCCCTGTCCATCATCATAGAATGCTTGTCCATGGGACCTGTTATGGACATATGAAACATATGGCCATCAAGCCACAATTTGTTTTTATCCTTCTCACTCTTTCAGTTTTAGGAGTAACAGATTGTACACTGAAATTCCCACATCCTTCCTGGTACTGGGATAACCTCCTGAGGATCTGCGTCTTCATCTTTGCCTTTGTTATGCCAGTCTTGATCATCACTGTGTGCTATGGCCTGATGATCCTGCGCCTGAAGAGTGTCCGCATGCTCTCTGGCTCAAAGGAGAAGGACAGGAACCTTCGGAGGATTACCAGGATGGTCCTTGTGGTGGTGGCTGTCTTCATCATCTGCTGGACGCCCATCCACATCTACGTCATCCTCAGGGCCCTGGTGAAGATCCCATCCACCCTCTTCGCGGCAGTGGCCTGGCACTTCTGCATTGCCCTGGGCTACACCAACAGCTGCCTCAACCCTGTCCTCTATGCCTTCCTGGATGAGAACTTCAAGCGGTGTTTCCGGGAGTTCTGCGTGCCCACTTCCTCAACCATCCAGTACCAAAGCTCCAACCGGGTTCGGAACCACGCCCGGGAGCTGCCATCCACCATCCACACGGCTGATAGGACTAACCACCAGGTATGACTAGGCATGCAGATGTCTCTAGAATCCCACTCGCACCAGGGAGAGGACCTCAACTCCGAACTCACCCAAATCACAACAGGACTGTAACACAGGGAAGACAGCCATTTGGGCTTCTGAGCTAATGCCCAATACTTGATTGTTGCCAGTGATTTCTCGTTAATTAACAGAGAAAATCTTGCAATGGGAACCACAATCCTGTCCCTTCATATTTATTCCTACCCTAGCCGCACCCACATCCCTCCAAATTTTCTTCCTCTCCTTTTCTGAACTGTGGCACTGGCGTGTAATCCAATATCCATTAGGAGTAGCCTTCCCTGCACACCATCCAAATGTCGCTCCTTCATATGCCAATAGTTACGATAGACTATTCAACCATGTGAGTCTGTTCGATGCCAGAATTTCCGCCAGAAGAATGTCAGGTTGATGACTGGAAATCTATCAGAAACCGGAACTCTGCTGATACCAATCTTTTCACCCTGTTTTATCCTATGTTCCGCCCGCACCACCCACCCCCACTGTCCCCAAGCCCCTGTCGATAAACTGTGGAATTGCCATTATAACTCCCTGTCTATACTCAGTTAACGGAGTACAGGTTATGGGCCAAATGTCCATGGGGTCTTACCAACCTTGTACTGAGTTCAGTTTCACAGCACATATCATCTTTTTTTATATTACTGGACCAGCAGAAAAGCTATGCCTGTTGGCTTTTAACATTTGCAAACCTTTATGTCGTTCGGTACTTTGTCCTTCGACTCCAGGAATGTTTGCTCCTTTATTTCGGATCCTTACGTAACAGGATGCTCTTCCACCCTGGTTGAGGTGAACCTGATCCATTCTAAGGAGGGAAAATGCAAGTCCTCAGTGGTAACATGATTTCTAGCATGCAGTGCCAACTAAATTATATGTACTCTGAAGGGAACAGAACAGAGATAATATCCCGAAAATGTTCTTTTTTTAATAGTAGAAGGCCTTCAGTCTCAACATTTGCTCGTGAAATGTGAACCCTCAGGTGAAATATAAAATTGGAGCTTTCTCATTGAAATAGCCTCTGTATCCAGTGAGTGATGGAAATGACTGCAACAGGTTGAATCCCTGGTCTGGAGGAGACAGTGGCCTAATAGTAATGTACTCTATGAGTAATCTAGAGGTCCAGGTTAATGACAAGGGGACATGGGTTCATATGCCACCACAATTAATGGACTTTAAACTTTTTTAATCAATCTGGAATGATGGTGACCATAACAACTATTATGGGGTGTTGTAAAAGCCCATCTGGTTCACTACTGTCCTTTATAGAAGGAAATTTGGCATCCTTACCCAGGCTAGCCTGCATCTGACCACAGTCCCATAACAATAATGTTTAACTGTCAAATGCCCCTCAGTTCAAGGGCACTTAGGGATGGGCAACAAATCCAGTAATACTATATCTGATGAAAGAAACAAAAAGGCAAATCTTTTCATCTGTGATAGGCATGGAGACACTACAGTGGGTCTCAGTGCCCCAAGGTTTGGATTAAGAAAGAGAGAAGGGCCAGTAATCTGTAATGGGACTGTCTGAAGGTGGAATTAAGCTCAACTGTGACAAATCCATACCACACCCACCTGCTCAGTTGAATAGTTTTCCAGCTCTCACTGTCACAGTTTATCACAGATGTGAAACATTCAAAGGAAACAAACCACAGCAAATACCAAGGGTTACCTGAAACGAGAGGCCATTTGGAAGAAGAGAAGACAGAAAATGTTGTTGTACATCATCTTGTGGTTTATGACTCACAATGAGGTTTAATATACAGTGTTCATGTTTCTGTTCAATTCTTTGCACCCACTTCCTTTGTGTTCCTCATAATTGGCACTTACCCAAATGCAATAAACAGGCTAGTGACCTCTTGAAACAGTGCACAAGCAATTATGACATAAACATATGAAGGAAATTCTTTAAAATAAATGATTGGGAGAAGAGGGATTATTATATTGTTTGCTTTGCTCATTATTAAATTTCTTTCTGTACATTAATCATAACACCATTGAATTTAAATATTCCATTTTTTTTCCAGCGACTCAGTGGTTAGCACTGCTGCCTCACAGCACCAAGGGCCCAGGTTCAATTCCACCCTTGGGTGACTATGTGGAGTTTGCACGTTATCCCTGTGTCTGCGTGGGTTTCCTTCCAATGTCCAAAGATGTGCAGTTGAGCTGGATTGGCCATGCTAAATTGCCTCTAGTGTCCAGTGACTTCATTGAAACAGTGTGCAAGGAACTATTACATAAACATATTAAGGAAATTCTTTAAAATAACATGATTAGGAGGAGAGGGATTATTATTTTGTTTCCTTTGCTCATTACTAAATTTCTTTGTCTAAATTCATCACAACACCATTGAATTTAAATATTCCATTTTCCCCAGTAGCTCAGTGGTTAGCACTGCTGCCTCACAGCACCAGAGACCAAGTTCAATTCCACCCTTGGATGACTATGTGGAGTTTGCATGTTCTCTCTGTGTCCGCATGGGTTTCCTCTGGGTGCTCTGGTTTCCTCCCAATGTCCAAAGATGTGCAGGTTAGGTGGATTGGCCATGCTAAATTGCCTATAGTGTACAGGGATGTGCAGGCTAGGTGGTTTAGCCAAGGGAAATACATGGCTACAGAGATGGGGTCTGGGTGGAATGATTTTCAGAGGGTTGGTGTGAACTTGGTGGAGTTAATGGCCTGCTTCAACACTGTAGTGAATTATGATTCTATGAGCTGTCCCTTACTGTGTGTTTAGAAATTAATGCCTTTTGGTTTGTACTGTGTTCTCCTTGTTCCAGCTTTCTATTTTTATCCATTGCAGTTCAGACACTTAATGTTCCCTATGGACCATTTTTCTTCTTAATGTTTTAGTCTCTCGCAATCTTGCCACAAGCCTTCCTCTTCAGAACTCCCATCTGTAATCACTCACCTCTGTTGATGTTAGCTGGTTGACACTGTTCTCTTACTTCGTTAATGTTGAAGCACATTCACACATAACAACAGTGATACATCATCATTCATTTGCTTGAGAAAGAGAGTGGAAAGGCTGTTCTTTCTCAGAGTTGCTCCATTACTCAGCACCTGTGCAGCCCTTACTGTTTGAAACAAAAACAGAAATTGCTGGCGAAACTCAGCAAGTCTGGCAGCATCTGTGGGAAGAAAGCAGAGTTAACATTTCGAGTCCAGTGACTCTTCAGCAGAACTGATGAAACGTTAACTCTGCTTTCTTCCCACGGATGTTGCCAGACCTGCTGAATTTCACCAGCAATTTCAGTTTTTGTTTCAGATCTCTGGCATCCACTGTTCTTTGCCTTGTTTCAGCCCTTCGTGTTTGTCTGGCCCACTTTATTGGAGCCAGACTACCATTGTTTTGTCATAGTAATACAGTCCAAAACAGTTAGTGAAGGAAAATACTTAAATACTAATACTTTTCTTGACATTACATTTATTTACAGAATATAGCATCACATATGTCTGCTTCCCATCTACCAATGCAGTGTCACCTCAGTCTCTGTTTATAATATGTCATCAATAAGTATTAACAATATAAATAACAAGCCATTAGTAACTAAAACCCTGTCTTTTTCAATAATAGTGCCCTACAAAGAAATAAGCAAACAAAATTACAAGAAATTAATTTTGACCTGGTAACAGAAGGCAATAGATAGAGAACGGCAACACAAAATACTGTAGATACTGAAAATAAAATACTGAAATAATAACACAAGAGCAGTTTCTTGCAGTACGGAACATGAGTATTGCTTTAATAAAACATGCTGTAGAAAGTTTTTGTCTTGCAGCCATCAGGACAGATGCGAGAATTCCAAAGGGGACAGCAATTTAAATTGCATGAGAAACAGGGTGCTGGTTGGTAAACAAATCAGAGTCCATTTGCCAACCAATCAGCACCCTTTTCCTCATGTAGGATGGGAACAGTTGCTCAGTTTAAACTGTATTTCAATTTTGCTTTCCATTAATGGCCAAATTAACCATGAAATTAGATATTTGCTTTAGAGAAGGTGTAACGGAATTTCACTAGATTCCTTTCTGAAATTGTTCCAGTCAGAAAGTGTGTCTTTGGAATTCTTAGCCTTCAATATACTTAATGACTGAGCATCCACATTTGGGTGTAGAGGTTGATAGGTTTTTGACTGCAAAGGGCATTACAGAATGTGGAGACAATGTCAGAAAGTAGGGTTGAGACTGACGATTAGCCATAGCCAGCTTAAATGATACAGCACATTTGACAGGCTGAATGGTCTCCTCTTGCTCCCATTTCCTATGTTCTAATATCAACTGACTGTTAACTTATGGGTTCACATATTCATACTTTACACATTAAATTTTCAGCAATGTCAATATTCATATTTTTCATAGTCACCTTTGCCACACTGAAGACTCTTAACATTTAACGAAATATCAAAAAGAAACAGAAAATATTAGACATACACAGCAGGTCTGTCAGTATTGGAAACAAGAAAAAAAATACCTATAATTAGGGATCAAACACACTATCCCATCTATAAATATCTCACTGTTCCTTCACAGTCGCTGGGTCAAAATCCTGGAACTCCCTCCCTTACAGCATGTTGATCTACTTACAGCACATGGGCTATAGCAGTTCAAGAAGGCAGCTCCCCACCACCTTTTCAAGAGTAACTTGGGATGGAAAACAAATGCTGGCCCAACCATTATTAGACAGTTTATTTTTCTCTACTTGTTCTTGAAATAATACCATCGATGGGAAGGAGTCCAATAGAATTCCCAAACAACGATAACAGAAGGAGATTTTGATACTTGATTTTGACACTGTAGCTTTTTTCAGACTAAGGTTCAGGACTGTGAATTGCCAAAATGAATTCTGTTTTATTGGTGATGTGTTCAGATTTGTAATAGAACTATATGACTATTAACACTGGACCCAACAATTTTGTACATTAATATCTGTACTTTTCACAATTCAATGCATGCATGACTTGGTTTGGTTTTCTT